TTCGTGGCTGCGAATCCATTCTTGTGATTCTCGTGACGGAAAATCGTTACTTTAATAATACTTTAGTATACCGAGATCTACAAAAATCACCCAATCACAATAGAAGTTCGCTATGCTCTACACAGTAGAATTGAGTTGAAAACGTGGACTGGAGATGTAAAAGCCAAAATTAAAAGTTTTTATAACGCAATTGAACATGTTTTACAAGATACTTCACTTGATATTCAAAAACAAGAAAAACTAGAACATTTAAAGGAAATGCCTGAAGATGTGGTAAATATTATTTTTAATCATATTATACTATTATAGTATGATGGAGTTTACATTATTTATGTAGCAAGCACAGCTTAGTAAGAATTCTATTATGAATTGTTGCAATGAGCATGACTCAGTAGAGATGTTTTTAAACTGGTTTAAAATATTATCGAAGTAGGGTCGACCTTGTTGTATTAATCATTCTTTGGGATTCTGAATTGGGGCTGGCCTTGTTATCTAATAAGTTAAAAAGCATGCCGATATTTCTGACTTAACTTTATCATTAATTAAATTTATTTTATATAAATTTTATCTAACATTTTAATTTATAATTTAGGTAAAAGCCACTGTATTAGCAATAAGTTTCTTATATAAAAATAATAAACTTGCTATTTCTTCTCCTTCATGTAAAAAAGAGGACAGTCAAAATGATATTTGTATGCATATCTCAAATTTAAAGAGTATATTGGAAAGTATTATCAGCTATTATATTTACTATTGCTTTTCTGTTTATTTTAATGTAGCATCTAATATTGTGTTTATCTATTAAATTAGGCTCGAAACAAGTCAGATCTAAAATATTCAGATGAAGTACGCAATGCTTATGATGATATTTATAATGCATTGGAGACTTTAAATAAGATGAATTTAACAAAATTTGATGACAACAATCTATTAACAATAGAAGTTATTGACATCTCTTCTGAGTGGGCTTGTTCTTATCTTAAAAATAATACAATTGATTTTCTTAAGGTATTGTAGATAATTTTAACCATTAAGTAGTATTATGATAATCAAATTTATTTGTCTAAATTGTTATATTTAAATTATTATAGAAAGATTTATCAAAAAGGTTATTCTTAGATAAAAGTATAACAGAAGAATGTAAAGGAACAATCCAAAAACATCATACGAATAAAGATTTATAGTGGGTTTTTTCTGAGAACTCTGTTCCTTCTTTAAACAAATGGGTAGAAAGTGTGGAATCACAAAAGCATTGTGCTCAAAAAATTCTTGAATGTTTGTACGTAAATTGTTAAGGATTTATTTTGCTATTAATTGTCTATTCTAAAATTCTTAATGTAATTTTTTAGAACTAGCATTTGGAATTTAAATACTATTTGGTCCAAAAATCAATCTGAGAGGATTTACATAGCACAAATTGTTAAACCACTAATTTCTATTGTGCTTGAAAATCTACCAGTAGATATTAAATATGAACTAAAATAAGATTGTGTTAATTTTAAAATTGGATATTTTATGTTTTGAAATACTGTAAGTTAATTATTTCTTTTATATATTTTTAGAGGAGAGAAGCAAAGTCTTGCTAGTAAAAATTATAAGTTGACAAATTCTTCAAACTTTGCAGTTGGCGATTGTCTGGATATAATGTTCACTATAAAAATTAGCAAGAATCATCTTGAGTTGCTTTATGTTGAAAGTAGTTGATGTCTAACTACTAATTAAAAGGTTTTTTTTAATCATAACAAGTTAGCTTGCTTATGCAAGGGAGGATATAATTACATAACCCACTCGGAAAAGATTAGACAATAAAAATATTCATTCTTTTCTCACAATTTTAGGCATAAATATAGCTGGTAAGTTGAATTTTATGATATTAAATGTTGTATACAAAAACTAATATTAACTTTTATAGGTAATCATATAAAGATATATGGACTTCAACGGAAAGATAATCTTTACTTTTATTTTCCACTTACCGAAACCTGCATACTTTTAGAAAATACTTCATAGGAAAATGTTCAAGACTTAATTTACACACTATTATTAGTATGAGTATGTTTAAAAAGCTTTTTTAGTTTGTTAATATAATATCCATTTTAGCAATAACTGTTTAACATAAATATTATTTATAAAATATTATCATAGTTGTAGCTCATAACTTGAAAATTGCTAAAAAATCTAACAATCTGAGAAAAGGCAAAAAAAAGTTAACGCGTAAGCTTGATATATTTTAATTTTTACAAGTCAGATATATGTAATGATAAATTGCTTTGCATATTATGTAAATAGAAAAATTTTGAACACACTTGGCAAAAAACTTAAGAATTTAGTTAAAAATCTGTGTAAATTAGTTGGAATATAATATATTTTTCATGATATGAATATTCAAATAATAACTTTATATGAGTTATAGACTAATATTAAAAGGAATCAATAATTCTTATTCATTGGTATTTAATTCTAAAACATGCAGTTAAGTAGTATATAAAATTAATCATTCAGACACTAACCCACAAAGAATTTTGATGATAAAGACTTATTTTCTAAAAAAACAAGAACAAAAAAAATCAATCAATTGACTTCTAATTTTTTTTTAAAAAAATTAGTCATTCGGACACTAACCCACAAAGAATTTTGATGATAAAGACTCATTTTCTAAAAAAAACAAAAACAAAAAAAATCAATCAATCGACTTCTAATTTTTTTTTTTATTAGAATTTTGAAATTGAATTCAATAAATTTACTTATTGTGATTTTGACTAGTAATATACTAATTATAAGATCAGTGAAAAATTAGTTACCCAAAAATTTCATAGTAAAAAAAACATATTGAAAATCTGATAGTAGAAAAAAATTTACATCATAGATAAACTGGGTCCTTCTAGTATTAGTGTAGTGTCCTGAGTACCTTAAATAACAGGAATAACAGAAGTAACTAGTGTAATTAAATAATTGCTATTAGGTCAGTGACAGATATTACATATAAAATTTATTCTCCAGGTAGAGTAGGTTTGCAATTTTTGAAATAATAAATTATTGTAATGTTTTTAGGCTTACAAAAATTATTAAGTGGTAGAATTGCATGTAAAATTAAAGTTAAGAAAACCACGTTATAATAAGGATTGGGATTTGAAGAAAATCTTACAGCTCGATCACTTCACTATAAAGAGAGTAACTTGTATTAAAAAAATTCTGTAGTTATGAGGAAGAAAAGCTAGCAGAATAAACATCGATGCGGAACAAGGAAATGATATAAGAGAAAGATTTAAAATAAATCAAAATTTTTATTCAACCTTCTATATCAATTTTGAATAAATTAATTTAATAAATAATTTAATAAAACAATTCAGATGCTAAGCTTTTTTTTGACTATTAACTAATTGTTTCTTGCTAGATGGAACTGATAGCAGTTTCTTGCTAGGTGGTACTGATAGTAAATCAAGTGGATTATAATTAAAAAAAAAACATTTTTAATTCTTTCAATATCAAGGTTATTTATTTTTTTCTGTGATAGTTCTGTTACCAAATGAGATTACGGTAATATTTTTGAAGTGATAACTTCAGATCTATTTTCTAGCACCAGATCCAAACCATTTATTTGATGTTTTTTGAAGTTTACATAGAACAAGTGATTGATAGAATTATATGAATAGAATTTTAAATCAACAAATTTAAGATACCCAAGTATTTATGCCATTTATTGATTTTTTGGCTTTATGAGCAATGCTAGTTAACTAAAACTTTTTTTATAAATTCTGACTAGTTATAGTTCGGATCACATATCTAGGTATAAGAAAAGTCATGTTTTATTTTTTTTTATTTTTAATGTAAAAGCGAGGCCTATTCTCTGATTCATATTTTATTAAATCGCATTTTAATTAAAAATATATTTGAATATTTATTGAATAAAAAAGCAAAACAAGCAGTACATATGAATTTTATTGACAATTTAACTAGAAGAAAACTAATAATTTGCATGAATAGAAAACAAATTTAATAAAAATTTTAAACTACATAACTTTTAAAAGCTATTTTCTAGTTCCTTTAAGTTTTCATCAGATAACTTATAATAATCATTATTATCTGCTGGTTCCTGCTCTTCAATTTTTTTAATAAGCTCAGCAAATTTATCCTTTGTCATAACTCTTAGTCTGGGTGGGTTAATTGTTTTGCTATTATAAATTACTTGCCAGCCCAATCTTTAAACAAGTATCAATAAACACCTGGCTGCAACCATTACATTTTTAATTATTGCTGGTTTACCTTTATAGTAAATTGTAGATAATTCTACCAATATCTTATATACATGACTTGCAATCCTTTCACCTTTAGAAAATTCACAATTCCAGTTATTTGCTTCTGGGTTTATTTCTTGACTTTTTTTGCCAGATTCTTGATCAACTATAGTGATAAATCCGGGAATAAAAAATTGACCAAAGTTCTTTAGTTCCTTTATTCTTTTTGTTAGATTAAAGGAGATATGCACTAATTCGCAAAGTGTATGGATGTATAAGACTCTTGAATGTTGATAATCATTTTCGTTATTTGAGATTTTTTACCAAATATTTTTGATTTGACTTTTGATATCATCCCCATCCTCAATTTTTATAGGAACTGGTAAAGAACGTGAAAAATCAATCCACTTGTCAAATACTTCTCTAAAAATTTTAAATTTTGGCATATCATTATAAATAATTATTGGTTTTGGATCTCCATTAATTTGGACATCAGTGCGAGTACAATTTTTTATTTTATCCTGCTAGATTTTTGAATTCTATTAATGTTAGATATAGATCAAGAAATGTCCACATTATGGATTCTTACCTTATTAAGCTTTTATAAGTAATTATATATATTTTAGCTATTGATGATGAATTATGTTTGTATTATATTCTAATTATAGTAAAATGTACTAATATTTAATTTTAGTAACATATTTTTACTATAAGTATGCTTATTAAAGCTTTTCATACTTGTAAAGACTAATTATCTTCATTGATTGAACTTTCAACTTGATTTACTGAGTAAAGAGAAGTTGAACTTCGAGAACTATCAAACTGTTTGAATAATTCCTTTGTAATTTGATACAACCTTGAAGTTTAAATCTGTCAAATTTGATTATAAATACTTACTTGATTATTCGTATCTGATTGGGTTATTGGCACATTCTCTGTTTCATCTATCCTCTTTTAAAAATATAACAAAATAAATGATGATGTAGACTGGTAAGGTTTGCTATATCACTAGAGTTTATCTGTTTACTGCTAAAGCACTCATTCTCTTCTATAATAACAACTGGTTCCATTCTATTTTTAATTAAGGCATTAGTAGTGCTATTATGCAGAATTGATTTTTCTATAATTTTTTACATATTTTTTTTATAAGTAAAATATTTTTATATAATATATAATATGCAAAAATTATAGCCAAAGCTTGAAATAATACCCGAAGGATCTGATAAAGTTCACATTTTTTATCTTGACTTGTCTTCTTTTTCTTTGATGATTTTCTTATATTTTGACTGTCTTCACTATCAGAGTCCAAAGTATCCTGTCGTGACTTATATTTTTTGTCACTTTTTGTTTTCAATTTCTTGATTTTTCTTGTACTTTGATTATCAATTTCATCTGAACTTGAATATTCAAGTCGCATTTTACATTTCGATTTCTTTGAATTCTTACTATCACATTCCTTACAGTACCAATTTCCAGCAGGAATTCTTGAGAGTAGGAGTTTTAAACATCTAGTATGGAAACCTTTATCACATTCATCGCATATGAGAATGTGGTCTCGATCACCTTTCCATTTGCATACAGAACATCCACAATATTCACATAATTCCTTTTTATTTCTATAGCGCTCCTCACATTCTGACCATCCTGGTGAATCATCATTGCTTACTTCAGAGCCTTCTTCCTGTCAAATTTTATTGACAATAGCATATATAAATAATTTATTTTTGAATTTATTAATTGATTTGAAAAATTCTTTACATAATCGTTATCTTGAATAGATTCAATAACACTGGCTTGTGTATTATCATTTGCTAGGGTCATTTGTTCAAGTTCTCTAGAAATAACATTGATCAATTGGTGGTAATTGGTCATAGGCTCAACTGTTTCTTTGTTATTTTCAGCTTGCTAAGATTTGTGATTTGACAATGATAAATTAGATTTTAGGTCAACTTCAGAACTTAAAACTAACAAATTCCTCATGTTTTTCTTTCTTATCCTATTGCCATTATCAGGCTAATTCATAATATCAGGTGAAAGTTGATCATTGGCATCAACAGCTTGTGAAGTATTGGTAGTAACATTGGTTTGCAAATAAGAATTAGACAATTGTTTATTGGTTTCTTCATTATTTTCTAAGTCATTATTGAAATTTTCTCTTTGCTGTGGTTTTGGTGATTTGTTAATAATTAATTATGCTTATAATTATATATTGAAATCTTTGTTACCTCCAGATTCTCACTAACATGTGAACATTTCAAAGTATCCTTTATTAATCAAAAAAAAAAAGTTTAAATATTAAAATTTCTACTAAAGCATTTATTAATTATCAACTTTAAATATCTTACTTTACTTTTCTTTTTTCCTTTTGAAGTTTAAAATAATTATTTATGTGACTATCTATAGTTCATTGATCTTCTAAATTTAATATATTTTCATTTGCATTAACATTAAACATTAAATCATCATCTAGATCCTAAGTTTTATTTAAAAGTATCTTAATGTTAGTGCATCGATTGATTAATAAATGTGGCAGATTAAAACAAATCTGATTAAAATAAAATATCACATAGTATATAAAAGACAAAATATAAAATTTGTGTGATTTTTTAGGGTTAAGAGTTTGCTTTAGGGTAGAATTTATAATAAACGTAATTAGAAATCTCAAATTTTATTTTAATCCAATTTTATTATGACCTGCAACAAAAATGTTTTAACATCGATTACATCTTTAATGGTAATAGATTCTTTCCCCTTTATGTTAGCTAGATCATTGATTATTTTTCAGTAAGTTTCTTCAGAAATTAGAACCGCTTCGGGGGCATTCAAATTTTCAGTATTATTAGTGCCATCAGTTAAGAAAATGGTTGCTAAGTGTAAATCATCATTAAAAAAATTTCCCTAACTCTTCCCTCAGTAGCTTCCAATATAAGATTAATTAAACTTCTAATAATTTTCTTTTTATCTTCTATAGTTTTTACCATTATTCTTTTAACTGTGCGTTAGTAAAAGAGAAAAGGTGAAAAATCAATATGTTATCATTCAATGATGAATTATTTATACTTTACTATTTGACTATGATCTCATGATAAATTGTTGAGCTTCTTTGATTAAAAATTTAATAATGATGTAAACTGATATACTTATGATCTTGATAGTTTCTTAAAATTACGTTGATTAATATTCTTAGTCATGTATTAAATCAATATAAAAAAAAAGTGTAATAACCATAATGACTTATTTTTTAAAATATGTTGTGTATAGAGATGTGGTCTGAAACTATAACTAGTCAGAATTTATAACAAAAGGTTTAGTTAACAATAGACTAAAGTTTTAGTTCACACCCTAGTTGTGTAAAACATTCTTTTATAATAATTTTTTGCTTTGTGAGATGAATAAAAAGATAATACATATTGTAAAAGCCTTAAAATTCAAAGTACATTTTTATATCGTTATACTAATGCAAAGCCGGTTAAGAAGGTATTTGTTACACCTTTTTTATTTATTTATTTATTTTTGAGCTAATCAAAAAATTTAGCTTGAGTGATTTTTGAATTTCTCAAAAATTTTTTAAAGCTAGAAAATAAAAAAGTATTTATATATATTTACAGTATTAATATACCTCAAAATCTTGAAACAATAGGTTCTAAGTGCTTTTTAGGAGTGCAAACTAAACCTTTAGCTTATTGTAAAATTGCTAGTTAACTAAAATTTTGTTATAAATCCTGACTACAGGACTAGTTATAGTTTTGGATTACATCTTTATAGCCAATTCATAGGCACCGTCACGTTCATATAGCGTTGATAAGACCTTTGCTACGACTTTATTTCTAGTGTTACCACTTCTTAAATGACTTGGATACCTATTTTAATGACCAGATGAGTATTTTATTTATTGTAATTATAAGAGAAAGAATCCATTATGGCTTGGCTCTATCAAGCTACAAACATACATACTACAGTAGACTCTATTTTTACTGCAACAGGCTACACATGTCCTGAACATAACATAGAGTACTAGTTATCAATACATCAGTCACTCTTATTATAATGAACAGTTCATATAAAAACTCTCCTATTCTTATAACTAGTTATTTAACTAACTAATCACATGACTTATTTCAGCATTCACCAGTGCTAAAATACACACGTTACACATTAACGTTAATAATATTAATATCGATATAAAAAATATAATTAGTTTTAAAACAATAAAATTTATTTCACAACTATCAGCATTTTTTTTCTGTACCTAGAATTCCACAAAATCAAATCAAACTTTGAATTTGAATCAAATATTTCTAAAAAAATTTTTGGTTAAAAATGATTTGGTAATTTACGGAGTTAGGAACTTCGAAATTATTCATATTTGAGAAATGCCTTTTTTGACATACCAATTTCATACACATACAAAAACAAAGAAAAATTAATATTCTTTTTTTTTTAATTTTTGTATAGCAGTATGACTTAAAATGTCAAGTAGCAAAAAAGACATCAAAAACTAGAAATAGTGAAATATTATTAGACAACTCTCAAAGGTTTGAAATCATTAACCAACCCATTCTAAACATGGCATAATGAAATCTTCAAACACAACTATTCAATTGTCATTTGATAATAATGACTTTATCAATTTTGAATTAAAAGTTAGTCTACGATTAATTAAATTTATTGTTTCCTCCATATTACCTTTTAGTATTGTTGATAATTTAAAATCAGCTGGATTTATGGATATATATCACTTCATCAATGCTCGTTTCATAGACATAACATTTTACCAACAAAAATTCACTGACATGTTTATTTCACCAACACTTATTTCACTGACAAGTTAATTTCACTGACAATTTATTTCACAGAAGCTCATTTCATAGATAAATTTTTTTTTATAAATTCCACTAATCTTAATTCTAATTCTAACCTGGCCTTAATGACAATAATCAGAATTAATTTGTTAGTGAAATAAGTTTTAGTAAAATAAACTGTCGGTGAAATAGAAAATAAATGTTGGTGAAATAACATGTCTTTGAATTGTTGTTAGTGAAATGTTAGTTCTACAAAACGAGTGTCAGTGAAGTGAGCTGAATCGAATGATTTCTATTGTGAGTTACTGTTAAAAATTTTGTTATAGAACTTGCTATACAGTACAGTATGTGGTTAAGGTTGAGTTGCATTGTGTATTACAATAAGAAATTCTATTACAGAACTTATTTACTATTCTGGTAACATGCAGTATGTAGTTGGTTTGTATTGAAATTATTGCAATTTCTACTAAAAACTTTATTATATAACTTACTTTTCTGTTAATAGATAGTATGTGATTAAGTTTGAATTAAATTTACTATAAGCTATTATAAAAAATTTTGTTACAGAACTTATTTGTTATTTTGATGACACAGATTAAGTTATTTTTTGTATTTAAATAATATGATTTTTATAGGAAATTGATATCTTCATCCACTTTTTTAATGATGCCACACCTCTACTGATCATTATAATTTTTACAACTTTTTCAAATTTTAATCAAAGATATCTTAACATTTATCTAACAAGTTTTTTTTTTTAGTTCTACTAATTTTTACAATTAAAATAAAAAAAAGTTTATTAAATTTGATTAGGTGGTTATCAAGATATCTTCAATCAAAGTATTGTAAATTTAATATTTATAGAAGCCATATTGCAGATTGTGACATTTTGATTAAAGATATCTTGACATTTAGTGACTAAATTTTATGAACCTTGTTTCTTTGAATTCTACAAATTTCTACAATTAAAATAAAAAAAGGTTTATTAAAATTTAGTCAGATAGTTGTCAAAATATCCTCAACCAAAGATTTTGTAAATTTTGAATATAGTAAAAGCTACACTGTGGACTGTTGTAAAACTTTGATCAAAGATATCTTAGTATTTACCTGATCAAATTCTATAATTTTTTTTCTTTAAATTCTATGGATTTCTAAATTAAAATAAATTTTGTTAGATGTATCTTTAATTAAATTTTTAAAAAAATTAAAAAAATTAGAATAATCAATAAGAGTGTAGCATTATCAAAAAAAGATATAGAAATATTTATTTTCTTTTTATAATAAAGTACCAGAAAAAATTTTTTTACAAAACTTGCCACTTAGATAGAGTTACTTTGCATTAAAATTATAGTTTTTTTATGAGTTATTATAAAAAAATTTTGTTACAAAACTTGCTATTTCAATAATACAATATATAATTAAAATAAATTTGTATTAAAATTATAATCATTTTTATTGTAAACAACTATGCATTTGGGTATTTAAAATAATGCTTAGTAGGAGCAACTCTTCCCATAGATCACTTTACCAAATTAGAAACAAGAAGAAAAAACTTTCCCGCAACATTTTCTCAAAAACCTACTAAGTAATTTGATATCTGGCTCTTAAATAAAGTTATCCAGCACCTCAAGTTCTATTTAAAGGAGGTGCAATTTTTATAAAAAAACCCTAACAAGTTAATCACACTAAACACTCAAAACAGCAAAAAAGTAGTTTTTCAATCTTCCCGCAAAAGTGGTCCTAAGGACCCCCACTCTCCCAATATTTTAAAACAAACCACAGACAGTACTCTAAGAAAAAACAGTGAGAAACAACAAGTTTCACATCCTACCAACCTTCAAGGTCCAGCTAAAAATATAGTATTTGAAAGCTCTTCCTAGATCTTTAATTATTTTTGTTAGCCTGCAAAACCTGTGCAACCCAAAGATACTCATACTACCAGCCTGCCTCCAAGCCCAGGTACAGAACACACAAAAAATTTTTAAACATCACTATTAAAGACTGGTCAAAACCTATATTTTCTGTCAGCTTCTCTATCCTAGAACATGCTGACAACTTCATCTTCTTTGTTGATATTACTAAATCGGAAAAATTTCAAACTTGGCCAATTACCCTTCTCAATGGATATGCAGTCACAAGAATCCCACCCAATCTGTCCTATTCGACCTCACTACACAGAAAAACAATAACGTAAACATTACTGCCAAACAGCCCAAATATATACGTAGTAGTGACCTTGCAACAATAATTAACTTATACAAAAGTAACAAGAGACCTTACACAAAAGCCAAACTAAATGCCAATCTGTCCATGATTCCATACAACAGTATTACAGAGCTAGACTCAGACAATGAGTCAAACAGGAGCAATAATGAGCAGGCTTA